ACGTCGTTTACTTAAGTCCACAGCACATGCATTTTGGGGCCCAATTTTCTACTCCCAGAATCCAAACAGTCATTTGTTAGCTATTTCGCGCCAAACCTGTCGAGCTTTCCGAGACCGATCGAAGACGAAGACGACGAAGCGCAATGGTGGAGTTGTGCTTTGTTCTGGACCTGCGAAGCTTACCGCCTCCGTTTCTCAGAGACTTGAAGCAGGTAAGAAGCAATTCAGTTCAATTAACACTGTTTAATTTCTCTACAAATTGCAACAATTCGTACAAATTATCCATACAAATTGCTGTTTCGAAATCGATCGACTCACGAATCGCATGGGTTTTTCCGGTCAATTTTTCTAGTCGCTGTTGCAGCTTGCGAATTTGTACGCCATTTCATCGCCGGCGCCGTGGGGCATATCGGAGTCGCTCAGAGATCGGATTGGCCTGTGCTACGTTTTTCAAAATCCGATTTCCTTGTCCGATGAGGTATGTGAATTCGTAATGCAGGCTACCTGTTTGTTTTATTGTCCATGAGAGGCCGAGAGGCTGAGAGCGATTGAATATATCGTTTTTGCAGATGAAGATCGTATATACACCGAGTCCGAGCGGAAACTTCAATCTCCGCGACTTCCACCATGCGGTTAACAACTTGCCTGCACAGGGATTTCGGCCTCAGATTGACGATTCGGGTAATCTCTGGCATCCATTGTTTTCTTCTTCACGCTCATTTTGTTAATTTCTGTTTAATTTTTTGCAGATGTGAAACTTTCCAGTGTCCTAAGTGATCAAGTTTTGTACCACTGGGGAGGTAAAGATATCATGAGAAAAGTGATTGTCATAACCTCCTGCTTGCCTCGAGATGTCGACTTCGTCATGCAAAAAACTCTCACGGTTAGCCCTTCATTGCTTACTTATCTTCAGTGTTTTCCCTTTTTTTTTCGCCGTGCTTACTTCTGCACCTTGCTTCTCATGGCATGATTTTCTTTTGGTGTTGACTTCTTTTTCCACAGGCTGCGGCCGAAAAGTGTGTTTCTGTCGATTTTGTGCTGTTTGAGCAAAGATCATCCCATCTGAGCAATACAAAAGAGAATATCAACAATTTTCAAACATGTATCTCTGATCTTGATAATTGCTCATTTCAAGCATATCTCCCAGGTTTTCCACTCCTATCCTTCATCTCTGTATGTAGGATACTAGGACAGCCAACTTTGATTAATGAAAAAAAAATCTTTCATGTGCGTGAGAGCATAAACAGATGGCCATTTACTTCCTTCAAGTGCTCTTTCCATTTCACTAATTCTCTCTATGTATGTTAATAGTTGTCGTTACAGTCTAAGAGACTGGAATCATTGTAGCCGTTCAAGGCCAAAAGCTGGGGTTAGTTTGTGCTTACTAATAACAAAACTTGCAGATGTCAAAGTATTGCATGGCCTGGTAAACCGATGGTTACAGGATTTAAAGGATGACGTTGAAGAACCACTGCAAGCTCGTTTTAACTTCAAGAACAATCTTGTGGGCTCTGTGAACCAGATATCCTGCAACTTGTATATATCTGTCAATCCAATTATCGATGGTTTCTATCCCTGTCAGGTACCATATGTAATACTCCTCTGTCAACTTTGTAGTTCCTCTACGTGTGAATCATCCATGTTGGCTGAAAAACCTTCGTGGGTGGTGGATTTTTGTGGTCATATTTGCCATCATAACTTATGTACTGACTAGTGAGCATCATTTAAAATCTTATGTTATGATTTGCGGTGTTAAAGTGAAAACTGCTAAGAGTTGTTACGGCATCATCATCTGGCCTGAGACACTGATATTTCTCACAAGTAGAGTAATATCTGGTTTTCATTTTCTAGAGATCCAAAAGCTAACTGAAATAGCTGTCATGATGGATACAGAGGAATTTGGTTCGTATTTATAATTTCTGTCCTGGATTATGTTAGGTTGATTATGTGTGGGTTATTATTGCTTCAAGAAGATTGTGTTAATAGTCGTAAAATCGTGAGCATGGTACAATGATATCTGCACTGTATGGTTTGTTTTGTTATTCCAAGCAACTTCTATCACTTAATTAGAAAGCTGCTTGGTTAAAATCTGAGTAGTTAACTTAATTTAGAGTTGCTCTATCCTCCCTGCATAGAAGCAATATGGAAGACATCATGCTTTCTTGTTACATGATATACTCCTCCGTTCTTCTATTTTCATTTATTACAACTTCACAATTTACGTCTACAATTAAGATCTTGATTATAGGTGTACTGCTTATAGACATGCAGATGTCATGGCATTTCGCTGGAAGATGCTGTTAGAAATAGAAGCGAGGAACTTTCTTGTTCGGTCACAGGCTGTAATCTTGGAAGATGTGATGTGATTGAAAATTCTGTGAAAGTTGGAGTAAAAACAATCCTTTTACTGCCCTCATTCCCAAGCTCTATGAAGCTCAAGCGTGCTTCTTCGCCAATTGACTTCAATGTCATTGAGAGGACTAACATGGGGTCTCTAAGCGAAGGTAAATGTTAAGCTTGGAGCTGACATTTATTAGTTCCTTCTGAGCTTACCAGGAGTCACTAAAGAATTGATCGGTCCTTTCAGTTTTTGGTGTCAGCATTGATTAACTACCCCTTTCTTGGGCTTTTTATCACAGGTGTTATAATGGGAGCTTCCTATGTTGTGATTCCATCAACTTTTCATGAGATAGAAACTAGTCCGGATGAAATTGATCAGTCAGAATTGAATACTCAACGTGCGTTGAAGGCCTCCTTTGATTTTTTTGGTTTGTCGCTTGTATACCAGTAAGAGTTGCTGAAACATTAATCCAGGACAACCTAATTCAGAGACTTTGAGGAAGTCCAATACTAGGACTTGCAGGGATTCTCTGAATGCATCAGTAACTCTTATCTATGTTCACATTTTGTTCTTTTCTCCTAACCAGGCTACAAATTTGCAGTTTTCCGTGGGATTTGCAGTGCACTACATTCAATGGACCAGTGTCTGTTATGCTCTTCAAATTGTAATGTAGAAAGTATGACAGAGGCCACGTTGCACTGCTATTATATTCTTCAACCTTCGGGCAACGGGCCGATGCTTCTCAGAGTGAATATCTCTCTTTAAGTTCCTGAAATACTAAAATTCTTTACGCAACAATTATCTTTGTGCTGTCTATGTCATTGTTTCTGTGCTTCCAGCTTGGTCTAGTTTTAGTTCCATGTAGCATGGATTATATGCATTGGCTAATTATTGTGCATTTATTTTCTCTACTCTGCTATGTCTTGTATCTCTGTTAACCATTATTATATTATTTGCAGCGCATTGCCGGATCAGAGGAAGTTTTGCACATTCCCAATCTCAACCAATTAACAACTATTTCTTCAGTACGTAAGGAGATTGACAACTCAATTAAAGAATCTTTGTCAAAGGTATGAACCATATTTCTGCTTGCATTCTTCTGGAAAATTCTGGGAGAATCCTTTTCTTTTAATCCTTCTCATGAGTAAGCGATGTGAATCAATTTCTTTAAATAACTAGTTTGACAAGGTTGTCGAGTTTCCCAATTAGTCTAGACCACAAAGAACTGCATGCTGTAAGCTACAATTTGAACCAAAATTTCCCAGGAATTATTTGTTGTTTTCAATATCTTAAATATGTTAATGCAGAGTGTTGGTGAAGAGATCAATATATTTTACCAGATTCATGAGTTAGATTAGTGACTTTATATCACAGAACGTCTATAAAATGGAGTTATGTGCATGCATTTCAATGCTTAGATTGTTGCATGATGCAGTGATTCTGCCCTTCATTCTCAAATATTTTTGCAGATTGATGTTAGAGACTATAATCCCCTGCTGCACGAGAGGGGCTTCCATCAGAATTTAAACTTGCTCGTACAGGAGAGCTTACAGTTGGGGTGATTGTTCTCTTCATCCACCTTGAGCCTACATAACATATAGAAATAATCGTACAGATATACAGGCATCAATTGGCTCTTGTTACTCAGCACGCCCGTTTCATGTTTTATAAACGGTAGAGGAAGAGAATGTTGAAAATATGGATTTTGTTACTCAGCATGAATGTTTCGTTTTTTCTTTTGTTATCATTCGAGATATCTAGTCACGGTCTACCTTTTCATGATCCGACTCAAGGTTTTTGTGTACAAGGATGGCCTCATTTTCATCGATATTGTTATTTAGGCACATGTCTAGGACTGATTTTCTATTCACTAGTGTTATTCAGGTTGTTTAGCACCTATACAAGAACTAATGGTGAAAGTTCCATCTGTTAATTGCTTTTTGATGTGAATATTTCAGGTCAATAGCCCCTGGATTTGAAGAGAAAACCTATGAGTCAAACGCAACCGAACCAAAACTTCCAGAAGTGGTTGCACAGTCAAATTCAACAATAGATCTTCCAATCATCAGAAACGAAACCTCACACTTTGATCCGACAGCCATAGAAGACAAAGCATCTGCTTGCATTACAGAAGAGTGGGAGAAGCTGATCGTCAATGAAGTCTCCGAGCTACATTCTCCAGTTTGCACTTCCAAACCGAAGCTAGATCAATCTGTCCTATCGCCACCAGATGGTAACCGGCAACTTGACGCGAAAACATCAAGAATTCTAGAGAGACTCGAGGTGCCGAGACAGTTCAAAAGAGAATCAGTGTCTCCGATTCTCACAAACAATGCCGGCGGCACAAAGAATCCGATTGTTGAGGTAAAGAGGCCTTTGATCCCATCCCAGCCTATTTCTGCTCCAAACCAACCCATAACTGGTAGCCAACTAATGAAACCAAATTTCCAGAGGCTAAAAAGGAAGCATAAATAACACATGACCGCCAAACTAGCCGTTTAAACTTGTGAGTCGTATAAGTACCAGAAGCTTGTGAAATTACAAGCTTGCCATTACACTGAGAAGTTCCCTTGGGAAATTATCTTCTTGACCAAACACAACCTTATATGATTATCATATATGACTTAAAAATACATCCGCATTCTCTTCTATGTAGAAGTTAAGGAAAAAGAAAATAACTCGAATACAAACTTTATGCTACAACACGGGAGAATTCAAGATGCGGCTGCTGCACACGGCAACATCCTAACAATACGTGACCTTACATGTGAGTCTCAAATCCTAATGAGTGTGTTGCTGCGTCAGCCGTACCCAAGAATTTCTCTTCAAACCTGAGAGATTCTATTATTACAAAATATTATCTTCTCTCATTCTCTCTCATCTCACATGATAATGAGACATAAAGAAGAGTTGAGATAATTACGACGATTACATCATTGTACAACATGGTTTGCACATCTCTTCAATCCAACCTGTAATTAACTTGTATAATTATAATTATATATATAATGTGGTGGACAGACTTGTGTTATCAGAAGTTTTCTTTGTGGAACTCAAATCGGGTGGAGGTTTTGTGAGAGAAGTCGAGGGACAGCTGGCGTAGCTTTTCGGTAAGGGCCGGTGGCCCGCAGTAGAACACCCCTGCACGACACAAAAACAACCCCTTTTGATTAAATAATTGAACATGATTAAGACATTGATATTGTTTTTGAGTGTTGATGGTCATCCACGTTCTATCATCCTCAACAACAAAAGCCCCACCCCCTAGAATATTATCCAACCAATGACTTTCTTTAACGACGACATAAATGTGATAGTAGAAGGTGCTAGGAAAGCTAACATGTGTAACACATTAAAACAAAGAGAACTGTTATTCACACTTAAAAAAAGTTATGCTTTACGAGAAACTTTATCCTATAAAAAGATGTGGTTACTAATGTAGTTTGTAACTTTGATATGTTATTTTCTGAGGAATATTTGGTGTATTAATCATTCCTAAATCCCATCTGAAGTCTTATGTCAAATTTTGTACTTCTCTAACTGAGTTGTCAAATGCTATTTTCTTATTAATATAGAGCCTTAAATGATTGTTATCTTTAAAAAAACTGTTTAAACAAAATTTGTAAATGTTAGTGGAATAAGGAACCCACCATTAAAATTAGTTAAAAATAAATTTGACGTTGATGTCAAATTTGACTCCTAATCACAAAGACTTGAAATCCAGTCAGCAAATAACACTTTGATTGGAAGGATTTTTTTATATCAAATATGGACAGTGGCATCTCCACCTAGGATTTGACATCTCATTTGGAGATGCTCTTAGTGGAGTATAACTTCCACATGACTAGATGTCATAGTGACAACATTATAAGTCAATTATGTATTATTACGTGAGAAAGTATAAAACTTATTGATTTAAAATACTGTCACTATGACACTACAATTATAAATCATATTATAAAAACAATTTTCATGACACGAGACATAAATTCCTCCCATGTTAGGGAAATTAAAATTTGTTTTTTTTTTTTCAAAATTTGTTTTGTGATGAAGTTTTGCGGTAGGGGGAAGGGAACTCACCAACTGTAGCATCGGTGTGATCGAGTGCAATCCGCTTGTAGACCTCACGCCAGTTTGGCTTGGCAAAGTGCGATTTCACACGTGTGCCGGAGACAATGTCGACACCATTCTTTGCATGACTCAAAGACTGAAGCATGGCAATGAGGGCAGAACGTGCATCACCTTCTTCATACACACTAGTGCAATAATTGTGAAATTCAATCACCCTGTTGTGGTCCAATTCCGCCACCTCATTCATCGCTCCTTTGAACCAATCAAAGGAGTCCTGTTCCCGTGTCACCCAATAAAAATACGCCCTCTTGATCTGAAAATTATGATGTCTCGTAAAGGCCGATCCAGTATGTGTTTTTGATGATTTGTGTGGTAACTTGGTGCCACCGTCACCACCACCACCATCATTTTCTAAAGCATTGTCCTCCTCCTCTTCCTCCATGGCCTTGATATTGTTCACTATGTCCTTCAAAATGCTAATCATTGGGGTCGCCCCAATCCCTAGCCCTACCAACAACACCACTTCATAGGTCTTGTATTCCTGAGCTGGTGCTCCATAGGGTCCATCTATCAACACTCTTGGAAATCTGTTTTTAAAAAAAAAAATAAAATAAATCATCACACCAATCACTTCCCACTAACATCAAGAAAGAAGAAAAATGAGCCTCATTATTAGAACTTTACTTTAAAATGTGAAGTTGCGATATTCTAAAGTTAATCGCATAGTGTAATATGAGAAGATAAATGTTAAGAAGATTTTTTTTAAAGTGAGGTTTTTTTATTGACTTTTCGTCAACTCTTGTTTTTGGCACATTGTGGTGATACAGTTCTCATGCTAACACTATAAAATATTGTGCCAAAAACATGAATTGCCAGAGAGTCTATAGAGAGTTCTACTTTTGAGAGAGACTCCTTAGCATTTCCCATATGAGAAAATTAAAACAAACAAGAGAAATGCTAAGAAGACTTTTTCAAAAGTATGACTTCCTATGAACTTTCTACTACCTCGTGTTTTTTGCATAGTATTTTAAAATGTTGATACAAAAATTAATGTTAAACTGTGAGGAGGCAGAGTCCATAAAACGTTAAACTTTGAAAGAATATTCTTGGCATTTTTCAACGACAATAGTGCTAATTAGCTTAAGATACAGGCCAACCAGCATCCCATAAGGTAGACAAATTTTCTTTCCATTATTAGTCGTTGTCAAAATAGACACAAAGCAACTTTATCATGAGAAAAGGAAATAAAAAAGAACGAAAAATTAAGTCACCTGGTCTTCTACTTTAGGGAGACGGTGTGCTATTCATACACATTTATTTTACTTCTCACACGTCTCTTATTAACTTTTATTTTTTGATATTTTTCAATTTATCTGATCTGACGTCTGAAAATTAATACAGTATGTGACAAGTAAAAAAATGTATGAACAGCAGATCAGGGAAAATGATCGACCACGTCCATGTTTAGGCGTTTATCTTATTTTCTTTAAGCACAACCAATCAAGATTAACTACTTTTTCTTCTTTTGTCCTACAATTTGTCCTACTAGTACATGCAATTGTGAATATTTTGTCTACCAATGACCAAATTTGTCCTACAATTTGTCCTACTAGAGTTTTTTTTTTGCTTTCTTTTTACCTATTGTTCTAAAAATCTTCACCTAATACCTCCTAGGCTGCGCCTAGGGGTTAGACAGCTGATGACGACCTTGATTAATCTTTAGACGTTTGAAAATTAAAATTCAAAGAACCATCTAAGCTACTTAAGCTACCTAGATGCTAGGCCTGTGCCTGCAGCCCGACTACTGCGTAGCGGCTAACGATTTTGACAACCTTGCTTTTACCCATTAAGAGATGTTACTAAACTCATGATTTAGTGGAGCATTACCAGCTAATTAATCCTTAAAGTTATTGTTACTCACATCAAGTTGTCAGCTCCTTGCATGTGGTCAGCTGTGAGAAGTCCACTTTTCCCACTAGGAGGTGGTTGGCATACCTAAACAAATCAGCACAACAAGATTAACATCCCATGAGATTAATAATTGGAATATGGGACTTAGTTATATCTATATACAATTATGTTATACATGTTAATATTTGTTCTTTAAGGAAAATCTAGCTACACTTGCAATGTATGTAATTAAGTTTGTGATCGCAGACGCACCTGTGAGAACACCGTTTTAAGTTGTCGGGTCCAATCTCCGACGATCCGGATATGAACACTGAGGTGGTCATCTCCGGGGGCCGAGGTGATGGAAAACGGGTGCCTTTTGTACATTAACAACACAAGAAAATAGATAAGTGCGTGAGAAAAAGACATGTAAGGATCATAATGTTATATTGTCAGACTATTAATCAAAATCGTAAACCTAATTCCACTTAGTTCGTAGCTATATGATTAAAAATGTGGCACAATCATATGCATGACAATTTAATTTATTCATATGTTAAAACAATGATTAAGGTTAATTACCATTCAAATGGCGACACAGCAGCACAATTAACAAACATGTATTGCCCACTATGGTATCTGAAGCCTTGAGGCTTGGACAAATGAAGTGCCAAGACATTACCAGGATAGAGAGCCACCTTCACCATAATTAAACAAATAATAATCAGATCTATAAATATCATTTTTGTTAATTTTTATGTTAATCATTTGGTGGTATTTTCTCCAATATATATAAAGTTGCTTACCTTTAGAATCTGAACAGGCTTGATGCTGGATCTGAGTGCCCTAACTAATCTTTCACCAGCATAGAGTGTGAGTGGAACAGCTAGGTACATCCATGTCTGTCAATGCCATGATCGTGAAATAAGTGTTACAACAAAACAAATCATACATTAATCATTTAGAAATTCTTTATGCAAAACGCCAATTATTACAGTATGAACGTCATCGGACAAATTGATACAACAGTAAAAAGGTGAAGTATGGAGAGAAGCTTATCTACAACAGTGATATCACTGTGACGGTATTCCAAACTAATTACGTTTAACGTTCTCACATGACAGTTCGTGATTAGCTTGAGATACTGTCACAGTGACATCAACGTTGCAGGGTTGTTTTTATTGGAAACATGAGGTAGTTAAGAAGGTTTCTTACTGTTTTCTGGTACCATTTCTTGGTCAGATACAGGTGAACTCCATGGATAATCAGCAGGACATAGACTATGACGAAAAGGTGGTGGGAATACCAAAAGGCATTGAACCCAGCGAGCTTATTCAGAGGCTTAGGCAGGTTAACTTTACCTCTTCTGAAACAAGGAGCAGCCAATGTGAATGCAACCGCCATCAAAACCACCATGACAATCCCACTCACTCCCTCCAAAGATTTCACGAAATACCAGTAACTTGAAGGCTGCACCTCCCCGAAAAATGGCTTCATCAGCTCGTAGTCATCGCTGTTCGCATGAATGAGCCTCGGGAAGTCGCAGGCCATATGGTAGACTGCATGTATCCCAACTCCAATCCCAATCCCCACAGCTATCACCTTGTGGAAATTGAGATTGTCGTCGAAGGGGACAACGCCTCCTAGTTTGGTCTTGTTTCGGAGCAAGGTTATGGTGTTCCGGCAGACCGGGAGGAGAATGAGCGCCATGTTGAATTTGAGTGTCTCCGCTGCACCTTTCGCCATGCAGACGCAGTGTCCCATTACTTCGTACGCTGCCTTGTTTCGATACTGCATAAATTTGTACACGAATAGGCCTAACATGATTCCGAGCCACAGGATCATTACCCAAACCCTCTTCCAATTGTCTTGCAAGAAGTATTTTGTATTGTTATAACATCTTATTAGTGGATGCTCTCTTGTAGGCTTGAGCTTCTGGCTCAGCATTCTGCTTAGGTTTCGGCTGTCTTTTCCTCTTGCCGCAGCTGCAGTCTCCTCCGGTCCTTCCAACAAGAGCGTTTCGAGGCTGTCTATCTGTTCCCACATTCATCACCATCATCAAATGAACCAAGGACTTGAGAATTTTAAAATTAAGAACTCTGGCTAGAGTTGTGTGCTCCCCTCTCCGTCCCTAAGTTCGAATCCTCCCTTCGGCAGTTAAGATTCGAATAATTAGAATGTGAATAAAATGAAAAAACTATTTACCATGATGTATCCGAGATTGTCTGGATCTAACTCTTCCATGATCAATGCTGCATACTCATCTGCTTGTTTTTGGATGTTTGAGAGCTTGTTGGCAGAAGCACTGAAGCTAATAATCTGCATCTCGGATTAAAAAAATTAATTTCGAAAATGTCCTGAGAGACTGACACAAAAATCACATGAAATTAATTTAACTTTTGGTGATTCTTTCTGCCATACCTCTTTGACTTCCTCTATGGTGATTCTTCCATCTGCATCTTTATCAACCCTGAAATTTTTCATGTTTAAAAGATGAGAAAGAATAGAGAAATTCAGAGTTCGTTTGATAACCATTCCGTTTATAGTTTTTAATTTTAGCGATTGCTTCAGGAACTCTCGAAAAGAAAAAAAACTGGGATGAGCATTAAGTAATTTACATGTCAAAGAAAGTTTGAAGCCTGGAGTCAAATCCCTGCTCAGAGATTTGATCCCATAACTCTTTCAGCTGATCCTCATTGATAGAATCGCCTTTGATGTCGAGCTTTCGAGCAAGCGCATCAAAAAGCTTCCCTGCAAACTCTTTCGATTCCTTGTTCATTCCTACGTAGAGATTTCCAAAACATCAAGCATAAGAAATGTAAACAGAAATTGAAGTAGCATTAGGAAAAGCTGCTATCAGTACCTATACATTCCCCGAAAAGTGCACGGGGAAGCAGGCCATTGGTGGAAGCAGTGAGCTTGCAGAACCTCTTCTCAACTTCAGGCCACTCATTCCCATCAGTCTTGCTGATGAACTTGAGGCCCTTCAATGCAGGGGCAGCCGCTGACTGTGTTCGATCAAACCGCCTTCGCGGATGATGATGAGGCACTGCTGCTACTACTGCTTGTTTTGAAAACGAGGCCAGGCGCTTGATATGAAATGAAGCATTTCGAACAACCGAGGAGCTAAGCGAAGATGGGCTCTTCTCCAACCCTTTTCCCAGCAGCTCAACATGATCTTCGTGATCTTCATGATGAGGATGATCGGCAGGTTTTACGCTGTGAACCGCCACAGAATCATCTCGGACGTCCAGAGTGACCTCGACATAAGATTCTTCATCATTTGAACTAATGCCAGGCTTGGTAGCAGAGATTGGCTCCGGTGTGTTGAACTTGGCATTCTTCTTTGTGCCTGATCTTTTTTTGTTCAGTGGTCCGCTGAGAGGTCCACTCAGCGGACCGCTGTAATTCGCCATTTTTTCATTACCATCGATGATCTCTGTATCCGAGTGGTAATGAACTCCTCCAGCCTCATTTGTTCCCATTTTCTCAGTAACCAAACGAGTTTCTGTGAGGAAGAAATTTTATGGCTGACAATTTTGGTGTGTTTCTTTGCTTAGAACAAAGAAGGAAAGGCTGGCAGTGTAGAGAAGAGTCCAATAGGGTTGTTAATTATTTTCTGTTTCTTTCATTTCTTTCTGTGGCTTAGTGGTTGGAGTGTATGCATGTGATGTTTATATTATTTATAGAGTAGGTCAAATCATTCCCACTTCAAAGAAAGTATATTCTATCTACGAGTTTTGTTACCATCAGTCGCGCAAGTACGAAATAATCTTTTAATAATCTATTAGTGTGAGACTTTTATAAATTTTGTAACAGTCGATGGCTGCCTATCATTTGTGTGCGTAAACAACTAACACTACAAATTCTGATATTATGACTTGTGTGATGTCTATTAGAATAGTCTGGATGGTGCTGAGAAAGTTACAATCTTTAATCATTGTTTTTTCTTTTTTTTACTTTCTCTTTATCTATAAACCTCTATGGTAAACGTGAATCTCATGAATCTGGGATAGGTCAATGTGTCCGTCCTTTTATACTCCAACTCAAATTCTCATCCACGTAAGTTATCTTTAGTCACTCATTTTTTTTTATTTATTTATTTTTTTTTACGTTTTCTTTATCTATAAACCTCTTTTCAAAGCAAACATGAGTCTGGTGAATTTGAGATAGGTCAAAGTATCCACTCTTCTATACCCCGAGCCAAATCCTCATCCAAAGTTATCTTTAATCACTTTATTTTATTTTATTTTTTATTTTTTTTTACACATTTTCTTTATATGTAAACCTCTTTTCAAAGAAAATGTGAAAATAGTATATCTGGGATAGGTCAGTGTGCCCGCCCTTCTTTACCCCGAGCAAAATCCACATCCAAGCAAGTTATCTCTAATCACTCTTTTTTCTTTTTAACATTTTCTTCATCTATAAACTTCTTTTCAAAGCAAACGTGAATCTGGTGAATATGGGATAGGTTAGTTTGCCTGCACTTCTATACCCAAGTTACAATAATTTAGAGTATAATATAAGAAAAAGCAGGACCTAAGCGCTAGCCAGCAGCAAGTAGGTGCTAGCACTTAGGCGTCTTGTGAGGACCTATATTTTCCAAAATAATTATATATAATTATGTGTTGTATATACTTATTAATTTCATATCGTTTTGTATTATTTCTTATTTAATCGTTAATTCTTTTATTTCATTTTTCTATACTCTAATTACTACTATTTTGAACCAAATAAGTTCAGTACACCATTACAGTAGTATTTGAACTATATATTCATATTATTCATTTTCTTTCCTTTTGACATTATTTTATTAAGTTGTTTGTTCTATTCTAATTGGACCAAAACCATAGCCAATTAAAGGGCTTTTACATCATTCTTATCAATAGCTTTTAGGCAGGTGTAAGTTTGCTTGGTCTAATCTCACCTTCCTCTATGCCGACTTTCCTCTCCTATAAATAGAATGTTATTGCTTCGGTTTTCGTTGGCTAGATGAAACGTTTTCTATCGGGGTCTACTCTCTCTCAGGTTTAAAGAGTTTTCCTTTCTAGGTTTTCGTCTTAGTTATTTGTCTCATATCTCTGTATGTTATTAATAAATTATAAATGTTTGTATCTAAACTAAAAAGGGGCTGTTGGGCATCGTTATGCATGTGTATTTGAATTCATTCATACTACTGATTAGTTTTATAGAAAAGTCTTTCTAGTCATGTTGTTCTTTAGTGATAGCCTCTTATGTTCTGTATTTCGCATGTTACATAACAATACCATGTTGATTCCTATTCTTGGAAAGGCATTGAACTTTAGGAGACTTAGATGCTACTCTATTGTAAAGAGAAGAGTCAAAGCATGTACTGCATATATATGTATATGTATGGATGTATGTCTATTGTTAAATAAATAAGCATGTTGGTAAATGATTTTATGTACAGTTTAATTTATACATATTACTTGAATGGTTTTGAAGGCAAAAGACTTTTGAATAAGCACTATACATGTTTGCTATATACGAAACTATTTTGTACAACATTATAGTCAACCAAATGACTTTTGAATTGAGTGGCGCGGCGTGGAACTAATGAGTCTTAAGTGTGTTGATTAGTATTAAAATTCATATAAGGCATTTGGTAATTTTCTTATACTTGTGAATAGGAGCTTATCACAGTTGTGGTTTCTTGTGTTATTATCTCAAAGCAATGCTTTGAAATCCAGGTAGGGCAAATACAGCAGACCTTTACGGAGATTGGCTTTATTAAATTTCGTGAAGCATTATATTATTATTATCAATCTTGTTGGTTGATTAATGTGATCTGGGTTGCTAATTGGACAAATACTGCTCTTGCGTGTTTACTTGTTATTGGTTATGGAATTATTGGTGAAATGCTATTGGTTGAGAATATACTATGGTATATGTGAATGATAAATGAAAGTATTTGTGAATCATTCATAATTGGTCGTGTGGTTGGAGTTTCAGTGGTGAGAAGGAATTGGAAATGATCTTTTGTGTAGTTAAGCCAAACTCTTAGTAGGTACCAAGTCTCAGGCGAGCCCACAGCGCACAGTTTCTTTGAGGGTAATTTGGCAAGATGACTAACAAAAGGGGAAATTGGGATGATAAGGTTATGTCCCTACTGAGCTATTGAAGCTCACCCCTCTGTTGTTATGCAGGTTTATGAACTAAACAGTCAAAAAGGGTAGATAGGATGAGATCGGATTAACTGTGAGGCTAGAATTTGTTTATTTATTTTAGTCTTGTAAGGAATCATGAATTATTTTTATAAGACGAATTTCATATTTTCTCACCCAGTTTCACTTTCCTTTTATTTAATTTTGTACTTAACTCACGTTTCGGATTCGGGTTTGAGTTTTTATTGCCGATCCCGGGTCCGGGGCGTGACACATCTAAGCCGGGCTTAGGCAAAGGCTTAGGCCTTTTTTTTTAATTTAATTAAATTTATTATATAACATATAAATACATGTCTACTTATAATTTATAAAATACAAATTGTATTGAGATACATAAACTACGAAATAGAATGACATATAAATTATAAAGTACTAGATTATATTGAAAACATGGGGAACCAACATATAATGAGTGTTCATCAAAGTATCCAACAAGTCTCTTACAATTTATTGAAAAAGTAAAATGAAAAATAGAAATTATCTGTTTTTTGTCTAAGTGAGAGTTGCAACCTAGGTAGTCTAGGCGGGCACCTAAATAGTCTAAACGCTCTTTTTTGTTTTTTAAACGTTTGAAGATTAATCATGGCAGTAATCATCTGTCTAGCGCCTAAGCGAAATTTAAATAGCACTAGATGAAGACTTTTAAACCAGTAATAAAATCAACAACAAAACAAAACAAAAATACCACTCACCCTCATCACAACAAACAGTGAACATATATGAAAGCAAATGACATCTGTTATCCCAATTTTGTTTTACTTGAGACAAAAGAAAAATAAAAGTTGCAAAAGTCAAAGATAAATATTTGCAGTGGCAGTGTTAAAATATATATTTCAGATGACTTGTGACTAAGTGGAATGTTAAAGTAATTGGTTGCATGAGGCCCGTTGAGCTTGGTTTTAGGCCCATATGGCACTCCCTACGCATAATACGTAGATAGCTAATAAACATTTGATATTAAAATGATAATGTACACTAAAGGATGCGGGTTTGAAGTAAGCTATCGGTCATAATATGTGTTTGAAAATCGATATAGGTGGAAATATTGATATACAAATTTATAAAAGTATCGATATTGGTTGCATTAGACGGAATTTATGGAAATTTACAATTGGTGGGTATATCAACTCATTCAGATTTAGTCAAAATTAGAGATAAAATTTCTCAAAAAAAAAAATTAGAAGTTCAAAATCTGTAATGGGTTTGAAAAAATTTTCTATAGTGAATCAGTATTTTCTTACATCTTGTCGATATAGGTTGAAGTTTTCATTTTAGCCCCCTTTTCATATCAGTCATTGATTTTTTAGATATTTCGACAAAAATATTAACAATTTCGTAAATATTTTAAACATTGGTAATAACAATTTAATATCAAACTCATCATCCATAAGAGTTGAATCTAAAACTGTTCACTTACAAGTGAAAGGATAACACCTGTAAGCCGTATTGCCAAGGGACATGATATATATTTTTTCCCTCACTCATTGATGATTGTTCAATGTGTAGGTGCAATGTATACTCCTTACTCTTCCCCCATGACCCAAAAAAAAAAATATTATAGAGACAAAGGCCAACTACTCCAGGGCAGCTCATCATTTAAAAACAAAGGGAATAACGTTTGTGCAGATGGCTTAAAAACATGGGAAGTGTTATTGGCATTTCAAAAATCTCATTCTACATTCCTCGTAAGTGTATTTTTCTTTCCAAATATAGAAAATTTGGAGTGTAGAATGAGATTTTTGGAGTGCCAATAACAATTCCTAAAAACATATACCAAAAAATTAGGATTAATACTAATTAAATTAAGGGAGAGTCAACATTAAATTAGGTGCATAAATAAGAACACAACAAGTACATAATTCAAACCCCACATGGTTTTTATTTTACTTTTAATTCTGATCCCTTGGCACTGATATTTTATTTGCCTGATCTGAGACATATATTTTAAATTTACTATTATTAAGTGGAGGGGAAATTTCAAAAGTCTTATATTAATTTAGGGAAGAGGGAGTTTTGAAATCGGGACATGTAAAAAATATAATAGTCTATCCATTAAGATATTGGACCGCATACGATCTTAGAGATATATAAGAATATAAGGATTTGAAAAATGTAGAGGTAGGTATAAAATTTACCTACTTGTAAATAAATCCAAAAGAGGAAAATTTTGTAAGATCAAACCAAACAAATTTATCTACTAAATCATAAATTAACAGATGGATTAAAAAAAAGTTGAGATCTTGATTGATTGGAAGGACGTTCGTGATAATTGAATGGAGATGAAGGAAAAAAAGGCAGATTTTACATGAGCAACATCCGTAGGTTAACTCTTGCCACTTGAGATTTAGCAGAATTTTTTACAGGGTTGGAGGAATGAGACAAAAACGAGTTTCGAGTGTCACGTGGTATATTTTAGAGGCCATATCAATCATTAATTTTAGCGTTGTCACTAGCTTAGCCGTTGATAGTTGTGACCTCTAGAGCATGTCTTTTTCACTGATAGGTGAGCCAAGAGCAAGTCCACCGGGAGTGGATTGCCTAGCACCCAGCACCCAAAACAGCTGGCCCCCAGGCAAATCACTCCACCCCAGCCTAATAGGCTGGCACCCAGCTCAAGCCAGGCAAAAGACCAGCCTAGAATTGACAGACCCAACAACCGGGCCATCTGACGTTAGCCGAGCCATCCACGTTGTTAATGCCGACGCCAGCTCTTCCCACAACCTTCAACCTCCCGCCGGAGGACTCAAACACCTTGCGGGTGACCTTGGATTCAGACACCTGCGGGTGATCTCGTCACAAAGCTAGATCTTGGTGCAGAGCTCCTCGCAGCTAAGATTGTAGGAGCAGTCGACATTAGCGAACTACTTGAGGAGGTTGATTCCGGGCTCTCCGAGCTTTTCTGACACGGGGACGGTGGGCTTGGCGTCAAGCTTCTCCGAGCTTCTTTGGGTTTTTGTAGCATTTATACTTTTAAAGGGTCTAATTTTTCTCCTCCTCTGCATTGACATTTGACTCCAAAAATATTATTAATTATATCAAAAATTAATAATTTTTTTTGTTAAGGATGGAGATGCATTTGATCTATTACTGTTCATTGGCATCTATCACTATTCACTAAGTGAATTAAATAGGATAAATGCTGGAGCATTTTTTTAGGAATCAACTTGCTCTAAGGTCATGTGCACAAACGCAACTGATGCTAGCATACTTGCACTAAAAATCGACCATGAATTATCCTCCAATGTGTCATGCTGGCCTCAGTTAGGCCCATACAGTGTTTTTTTTTTTTTTTTTCCCCTTCTATTTATCAGTGGGCCAACCTGAATTGTTTTGCTTAATTACTGTTAATATTAAAACAATATTAAGCAATAATAATTGTACTAAAGTGAGAAAGTTAAAGGCGGCAGCGTGCCAATTTGTATTTAAAAATAATTAATCTGAGTCCAATGCTTCAAGAATTAATGATTTACAATATACAATTAATTAATCACCTGAGAACTTAAACAAAACTTTGATTAACTACAAGATGGATGTTGTACACTGCTATTAGACAACCGGACACTCTGATCTGATCCATTTCTTATGAACGGGTTTCCGGTAGCATCCACGTCGATAACGACAGTGTCACCGGGCTTGTAACCTCCGGCGAGAAGCGCTTCGCTCAACGGATCTTCAATGATTGACGTAATCGCCCTCCTAAGCGGGCGGGCGCCATAAAACCGGTCGTAGCCTTGCTCACATACGAGGCCCTTGACTGATTCAGACACCTCCAGTCCCATTCCCAGAGACATTAGCCTCTTCTTCAGCTCTTGTAGCATTAAGTTTACAATCTCGAGCATCTAGCGTAAAAAAATGATACAAAGATTAGAATGTAAATACAATATCAAGCAGGAGGTTACAAGGCCGGTGAGGATCAACACCGGAGGTTACAAAAATTCAAAGATGCGGAGTTTGAGGAGACAAACTGCGTTATGGAAACGCCTAACCCTAGAGAGATGATGGATTAAGGTGATGAATTTCTACTTTTAAGGGACTGGAATTCCTAAAATCAATGTAAGATGGCATACCTGAGCCCTTTGAAGGGGATGGAATACAACTACTTCGTCTATCCGATTCAGCAACTCTGGACGAAAATATGTCTTGAGTTCTTCCATTACAGTTGCTTTTAGTCCGGCATATGAAGTTACCTCATCATCTGCAAGCAAGAAACCAATGGAGCTTCCTCTGCCCTTAGCAATGATAGTGGACCCAACATTAGACGTCATCACTACCAACGCATTCTTAAATGACACTCTCCGTCCCTATCAAACCCACATTGTCGACAAAATGAGTCAATAATCAAAGACTGTAGTAAGAAAGAAAGCGATCACAAAACTTAAAAAGTTAGAGCAACCAAAAAAATACTATGGAGCAACCAAGCGACAGTTTCCTTGTACAGAGCTAAGTACCCAAGTAACTTAAAGCCAAAGGTAACAAACCTGAGCATCAGTCAGGTGGCCATCTTCAAAAATTTGGAGAAGGATGTTGAAGATATCTGGATGGGCTTTCTCTATTTCATCAAACACAACCACTGTAAAAGGTCGTCTTCTAATAGCTTCGGTTAGAGTGCCCCCAGCTCCATAGCCAACATAACCTGGGGGTGACCCTATTAATTTGCTAACAGAATGGCGCTCCATATATTCACTCATGTCAAACCGTAGCATGGCTTCCTCCTGTAACAATAACATCAAGAATCACATAAAATATTTTGATTGGATGTATGCCTATGCCTCATCGAGCTCCTAATGCATCAAGGTTCCATTATACTTTTAATCTTAGCAATTACTCAATGCAGAAAGAGTACCTTCTCTTATAAAGAGTGAAGACTTACCGATCCAAAATAAGATGCAGCCAAAGCTTTTGTTAATTCAGTTTTTCCAACCCCGGTCGGACCACAAAAGAGCAGCGTTGCCATGGGTCTGTCAGGATCCTTCAGTCCAACCCGGGATCTCTTAACAGCTCGAGAAATGGCAGCAACAGCCTCTTCTTGACCAACAACCCGTTTCCTAAGCTTCTCATCAAGACCGACCAGAAGCATTCTGTCATCAGCAGTGAGCTGCTGAAGAGGGACTCCTGACCATAGTGAGGCAACTACTGCTATATCCTCTGGTCCCACCACTGTAGGTCTGAAAAATACATTCGCAAGAAATCCAGTTAAAAATCATTCTGTGACCTCAGGAAAGGCCAACTGCATTATCCTCCAGATATGTTTTCAGGGCCAAAGATCATACTCATGATCAGATGTGGAAGATGAAGAGGAGGGTTCTCTGATATCATTCACACTAGAAGCGTCGCCGTTTTTCAGTTCAGTCGCTAGGACCTGCTTATATTGTAGTCACAACATTAGCAACATACGAGGATCACTAAACACAATAAGTATATAACAGAAAACAGGAGCAATGTCAGTACCACTTCATGCATCGCCTGAACTGTCCGAATTTCTTGCCAATAGTCATCAGGTGACTTTGAAAGTATACAAATTTGCTGTTCTCTTTTCCTCTTAAAGGCATCCATACGAGCTCTACTTCCCGCTTCATCAATGAGATCAATAGCTTTATCAGGTAGATATCTATCAGATATATATCTTGCTGATAGATACACAGCTGCAATAATGGCTTCTGGTTCATATCTGCAGTTGTGATGGGCCTCATATTTCTCACGTAGACCTAGTAGTATCCTAACTGCATCATCCTAAAAAAATTTATATCATTTCAATTCCAGGTTGTGTAATGACCGATCACTTCACATACAGTAAGATGAAAATTCATTTTGAAAAATACCTGGCTTGGTTCATTAATCCAAACAGGTTGTAATCTTCGTGCAAATGCTTTATCCTTTTCAAGGTGCAACCTGTATTCATCTGCAGTTGTGGCTGCAATACACTGCAAACAACAGAATGTTAATGCAACTTATACTAAGAGAACTTAGAAAACAAGCACAGATCTTAAACACAAAATCAGGGCATTGCTCCAACATAACTGATTTGGATTCCATTTCCACGTAACAATAAAGAAAACTACGGTGGGATCACAAAAAATCTGGACTTCCTATCTTTGTATAACAAGATTCATGTGATAAAATAGCTTCAGCTACTCAGAGCAATAATGCATGAATGAATGAGATAATAGCCCTAGAAACTTAGAAAGTGTACTGAGTCACTTTCCAACATCACTGACTGAAATAAGAACAAGAAACGAAAATGTACCTTTGAATTATTATATCTACTTGGGAAGGTTAAGACAATTACATCATAATCCAAAGAGAAAAGGAACTTGACTTCAGTTCAACATTAGTAATTATATTTGGTAATAAGAACTAGCGTCAATCAAATGCTTAAATCTGCTTGGCTTTGGGTGCAAGCATCATTATCAACAAGTTATCTCTCACTATTAGTTCTTAGCAATCTTGCAATCTCATGCCTAAATCCCTTCTAGCATACAATTTAGACTTTCTCTTCAGTGCATTAAGACATTTATTCAAAGGATCTCTGGGTCCAGCACTAAGATAACCCCATAAGTCTGAGCACTAAGCATAACAACATAGGTCAATGTCCTATATTGCGAAGACCAGTTAACAACTGATCATATAGATGACTAATGGCTTCCAATTAAGTGTCAGTGATGCCTTCACTAACTATATTTAAAATTTACGACAAGATGCCATGCCAATACATGAGGACGGTCACTAAAATTACATACAGAACAAGATTGAATGAAGGGGAAGTAGACAAATAACCTGTAATTGACCCCTCCCAAGGGGAGGTTTTATTAGATTGGCAATGTCAAGACTAGACCCCTTATTTCTTTGTCCAACTGTTCCAGACTCAATAAGGGTATGTACTTCATCAATAAAAAGAATAATGTTTCCTGCAATGCAAGCACATCATGAATGAGCAGACAGGAATTGATTATTTTCTTATATAAATAACTGAAAAAAGTTTACTCACCTGCTTTTTGTATGTCACTTAACAATGTGGTAATACGCGCCTCCAATTCTCCCCTCTCCTTTGAACCAGCCATTAATAGTGCTATATCCAAGGACATTACACGTTTTTCCTGTGGAAAAATAAAGCTAATCAAATTATTAATATGCAGCTACATTATTTTATGTATAAGCAACTGAATTGGGATGAGAGTGTAGAGCTAGATGAGCTAGATCAGTTAGATGAGCTAGAGGAATATAAATCATTTGTAAGAACACACCAGGAGAAAAGCAGGGACATCCGCCTGTGCAATACTAATCGCCAGTCCTTCAACAATGGCTGTCTTTCCAACCCCACTTTCACCGAGAAGAATGGGGTTATTTTTACTTCTGCGACAAAGTATCTGAATAATTCTCTGAACTTCAGTGTCTCGGCCAATAACAGGATCAACGAGTCCCTCACTAGCACGGGCAGTAAGATCCACGCAGAATTGGTCCAAAGCACTTTTGTCTGAGAGGACAGAGGAATTATAGGGCAATTCCCTCTGATTTTGTAGCAAAAAACTAAACAATAGAGACGAGCAAACCTACTTCTTACCTTTCTTTTTCCCAGAAGCAGTTGATTTTTTGGAAGGGGATTTTTGAAATCCCCCAGATGGTTCTCTACCATCTTTGACAAGCTCTACTTGAAGCCTCGAGGCTGCCTCGGCTAACAACTGGTTTACATCTACCCCCAGTCTGAAATCGCATTCATTTATTAGCTTCAGAATGGAAACTCATATACACTTTCGCACCTTAAACCTCGTCCCCATATATGAAATCATGTAAATGCAGCCCGTACAGATGTCATATGCTCTCTATCCCTCTCTCTCAGGTCACACAATTTCATTACAAGGTACAACTTTCCGGTTATGTACCATGCAATTGCAAACTCGTCGAAGCATGAAAAATGCTTAACGTAGTTATCGACAAGAAAATAACCAATTCCCACCATTCATAACATGAACACATGGAGAATATAGAGGACTAGGCATAGTAAACAAGTATAGGCACATCATATTTCTTTCTACCAAAGTTTTGAAATCATATGTTCCACACTACATTTCGAACAAAGGAAATTCATAGCTTATCAACCCAATTACCAAGATTAGAAAAACAAAATTGAGGACAAAAAAGTACCTTTTGAGGACCTGACCAGCACTTCCATCATCAGCGGTGAACAAACCAATGGCAATGTGCTCCGGCGCAATGAAATTGTGAGCTCTAGCCCTCGAATACTCCAACGCCGCCTCAAGCACCCGCTTTGTGCTAATTGAGAAGGGGACATCGGTGGCGGAAGCAGAAGCAGCTCGGCTGGAAGGATCAACTTCTGCAGAAGCAGAAGTCTGACTTTGATTATGGTGGTGCCAAATGGCGCCAACAGCTTCCCGGGCCTGGTCTATAGAGATGCCCGAGCCGAGAAAGCCGTGGGAATTCGGATGAAGATGGCGGTGCTGCTCCTCCTCGGCGATCAGACCCAGAAGCAGGTGCTGGGTAAACACCATGTTTCTGCCAAGAGCTCTGGCTTCTCTTTGGGAAAAGATGACGGCTTTGATTGCTCGCTCCGTAAACCGCTCGAAGACGGCGGCGACGATCCGGAGCTTGATTTTTCGCCGGGCGGTGGGGCCGGTGGGAAAGGTGCGAGCTTTGAAGGGGGAGAGGAAAGAAGAAGCAAAATGTGGTGACGGGTTGGTGAGGCGAATTGGGTAGAGAGAGAAGACTTGGCTGCCGCCGCCGCTACTTCTGCGATCATAACGGAAGAATTGAGTGCAGCAACAATTAGAAGTAGAAGAATTTAGAGATGGAGTCCGCCATTGAAGTGAAGGAATCAACACAGAGGAGGAGGACGACGAAGACACTTGCATTCTCCTGAGCTCTGACTTCTAGAGAGAGAGAGAGAGAGAGAGAGAGAGAGGAAGGTGGGAAGGTTTGGGTTTGCTTCGAAAAAATAGTGTAAAGAATAAATGGAGGATTATTGGATCAAAAAATCGTATAAAACGATAAATTTGTTAAGCTGAAGACGAAAGAAAGGTGTTTTGATTGATGCTATCGTTTAACCACGTCCAAGAGATCTCTTCATTTCCAAGCAAAAGCAAAGACTTCTTCCTTCTTCTCTTTTATTTTTATACTCTCTCCCAATCATTAATCAATGCATCTTAAACTAAAATTTATGAACGTATCTAGTCTAACAAATTGCAAAGAAAAAGAGTATGGAGATTTCGAATACTAGTGTGGTTTTGACTAAATGAGCTCAAGAATATTTTTACCTTAATTTATTTGATCAATCTTATCATAGATTATGAGAGACTTTAATGTCTGACACAGGTCAAATATCTGTATAATCAAACACAAAACCAAGATCACCTAAGTTATCATTTGCATGTGATTAGTCGTACATAAAAATCATTCCAATTCAGGAGTCAATTAACATGTGTGCGGTGTACCCAATTTGAACAAGGGAACATACGGCTGACTAGAAAGTAAGCATTTGAACGCTGCCTGCCTGCCGGCCAAAACAAAAGAGTAGCTCATGATTGGAAGAGCAAAGTCACGTTTTAGTTTGAAGTCGGAACCTTCCACCGTTCAATTGCCAAATACGTTAAGGAAATTGGGTGAGGACAGAACAGAACCACTTTTGACAAGTCCCCAAAAGTACCATTTTTTCGCTTGCTTCCCATTTTTTTTGCAAAATAGTAGAAAAGTAAATAGGTTTCAAGTTTAAACCTTGATGAGAGAGAGACTCCAAGGAAAGGAAAGAGAAAGGGGGACGAAAGGTATGAGTAGAATAGGCCGACACGTCAACCTTTGCTCTTTGTACACGTTGCGATTGTTGCTTTTAATCCTCCTCCTACGACTCTTTCTTTTGTCCGGATTAAAGAAAACAACTACAGTTTTTTATTTTTCTTTCTCACAGTTTCGGGGGCTGACTTGGCACATACATACCCAGAGAAAAGAACGTGTATTTTAAGTCAATCGTACACTATTACGTAGCAATTTTAATTTTAAAATGCAGGATTAACTGTCTGTTTGACTATGAAACCGTCATGGAGTACTATCCACATGTCCATATATGGGTAGATGATGAGCTTTATGCTTTAGGGTATATAATTTCTATCATTTAATATTCTTCAATTCACTTAATACGATGATCGATAATTATAAGGATGTGAGAAGGAAAAAGAAATGTATAGATATTACACCCCTTTAGTTAACAAAATATATTAGAATACAAGTTGATATCCACCACTTACGTGACGGTGTTACGATCACAACCAAAATCTCTCTTTTCAATTGGGCATGTGTGGAGGTCAGTCTGTATTAAGGGAGCAATTTTTCGGTGTACCCTCACTCATAATGGTGAGGGTACACCAAAAAAATTTGGTGCACCCTCACTTTTTGTATACCAAAAAAATTCTAATGAGTGAGGGTACACCAAATTTTTTTGGTGTACCCGGTACACCTAAAAATTTTCCGTATTAAGGACAAACACTTGCCCAACTCTCCTTTCCAGCATGTTACGAAGGTTGGTTCTTGTATTTCATACACTGGGACCTGCTAAATACCAATTTCATCCCTCAAAGAATGCAGATTTTGTTGCGTTGGGTTAGGGTTGAATTGGAAATGTCATGAGATTAAGTTTGCCAAACTTCCCTTCCATCATATAAAAGTTTGGTTTGTACATATATTTCTGTTACATATCAATTTTGAGCCCTGAAAAATGCAGCCCTGCTGCATTTATAATCCAGCTGACTTTCCAGGGCCTGAAACACGAGAAAAACTGATGCGGGGCTTTGCTTGCCACTGGACTTTCCTGAGTGGCACCACAACCCACTCAAAACTCACCATAGGGCCAATCTTATATATTTTATATATTTAAAGCTCCCATAATTATTTTTTTACTAATTATTATACACTATAAGATTAATCTAATAGTTAATTTTTTTTTTCCTCTTAGATATGCATTTGAGTGTTTAAATTGGAATGCCTTTTAACGCTCTGCTAAGTAACTGAGTTTTTTGTAATAAATCAAGTATCTTTTGGAGCAATCAATTATGAAGAAGCACCATAGTTAGGCAGTCTCCCACAACATCAAGAAGAGGCAAAATACTGTTTCCACGATTCTGGAGTTAAATTAGATGTCTGCTTTACAATGATAAAAAACAAAATAGTTGTGAAACAGTATTTTGTGTAAAATATGGATATGTAATCTTTTTTTCTTTTTTTTTTGTAGCATCGATCATTTTGACCAAAGTGCATTTCAACGAGACATTTGGAAATTGATAACTCGTATTTGTTATGTTCCTTAAATTAGCTATTGTCATAATACTTGATTCAAATATTGTTATTCAAGTATAAATGCTTTCGTAGTAAACCGAATTATTACATTTATAGTAAGAAATGAAATCCCACATCCGTTGTGCTATGATTCAAGCATAAACATCTGCCTCCATTTTGTTGCCCTTGTGACCATATTTTTATGAAGAAAGAAAAAACACAAAGTAGGAAAGAAGACAATAGAGAAAGTTTGGGAAGAAATTAAAAGAAGAGAGAGAAGAGGGAAAAAAAATGAACCACTAATTAAATTTTATCATATATATTAATTAGTAGGAAAAATAATTATAAGAGTTTTAAATATAAAAGATTATATTTAAGATTTGCCATGTGGTAAGTTTTGATTGAATTGTAGTGCCACTCAATAATGTCCAGTGGCAAGTAAAGCCCCACACAAGTTTTTCTCCTGAAACACAAAAGACATGAAAATAAAGTTACTAGCAGGCCAGCAGCAAATTGATCAAGGTAAAAAATGCTAGAGGATGGATGTCGTTACCACTTTGGAGGATGCTGAGTTGGCGAGTTTCTGTTTTTATTTCCTCCGAAGACATGACGCACCAAATCTACTTCGTGAGATCAACGGTTTAAGCAGGACGATGGGACAGTGCATGTCTTAATGAGAGATGCACGGCAAGATTTCTATCTTGCAAAAATAAGCAGCTGCGGTGCTTAACTCTTTCTGCTCCGGGTGAAAGCTTTCACTCCAAATAGAGATTCAACTGCTCTCGGATGAGTCAACTTGGCTCCAAAGTATCTTGGCGTAAGCCTTCTCCTCTTCCTTCTCTTCTGCAACATAATCATCCGCCTCAACTACTTCATCCTCGTCTGGAATCTCTTCCATAATTTGCTCAGTTGTAGCCTCTTCTAAAAGTCTTTGTCTCTCTTGTTCAGTAAGTTCGGCTAATGCCTCCCTCATAGCCTTCCCCGTTGCTGGCCTGTCTCCTCGCCTGTATTTTGGAGCAGGCACAACGAATGGCAAAACAATATTATCCAATTTTACGCTATTTTTGTTGGCGCTACCATCTGTTTCCGTTGGGGGAAAGGTGAAAATGATCCCAAGTTCATAATTGCAAATATGAAGCATCTGACCCAAAGTAGAGTTGGCTTTCCCTAGTCTGTTCATGTTTAAACCAAATGGACTATTGATTGGTCGTCCCCAGGCCGCTGCACTGAAATTGTGGGAACCGCAATAAACCCAACCAAATGAAGATCCGTCTATCTTTGAGTGAAAGCGTCTCCGTGCCACCTGCATATATTAGAAATGTGATGCAGATAAGATGCTACAATATTATCCATGTGGCAGTGTAAGACAAGATGCCAGATGCCTCTTGCAATAAATTCATACCTTGCTGTGCATTGGATGTCCTACTCTATCGTAGGGGTGAGGAATTGCATCATGAAGTATGTCTATAGTCCTCAGCCTTTGCCATGTTTTCTACGTAAATAAAAAAATTGTTACATTGTCAACAAATAATACGATGTAAGGGCTAAATCCTATCACTGAAAAAAGAGAAATTCCCAACCTACAGTTAAGGATTCACAATATTCAAAACTTGAAGACAAAAAGTGCTAAACCAATGCAGATAATAATCCAGAAATCTAAGATAAAAACGATATTGCAAGAAGCTGAAAGATCACCATACCTCAGAGAAGCAAAGAATGCGTTTTGAAGGAAAGATTCCATTGCATGCATCCTTCACTCTTTTTATGGTTGGAAAAACAATTTTAATGGATGGACTTTTTGATTCTTGACTAGCACTCCAACAGCCCCACTGTTAAGAGTATAGATAACTCCAGAGTTAAATCAATAAACATGACATAAACTCTTCGAGAATTTCTATAAAAGGACAGAGTGTGTAATTACCTCTGGATCGGACTCTTCAGACTCGAATTCCAATGATTTCTTTCCTGCAGCTACTGAAAATGCAGCTAAAAATTTGGCATTGATTGACCCAATTGAGGATGCGCCTTAAAAAAACATCCAACTGAAAAATCAGAACATGTCTTTGGAGTTCCTCTTTTCATTAATGATATATATCTTCCAATTTCTTAAATAGATTAAGATTGCGCAAGATAAGATACACTCACCATAAACAAAATCAGAGTCAAGTGATTCAGGCCATTTATACTGACCTAAAACCTGATAACAAGAAATATTCCGTAAGATACTGCAATAACAACATAAACTAGAAAGTCACTGAACAGCATCAGTTATAAACAAGTGAAATGCTGGGGTCACTTTGACTGTTTGTCCAAAACAGATCTAGTGAGGAAGTATACGATATATTCATAATCAACAAAGTATAAACTATTCAGAAATTTGACAACTAAGAATATCAGAGCCGTTACCTCCTGAAGTCGCCAGAGGCCTGTGCACCTTTGAATGGCAGCAATCAAAGAGCATAATGCAAAAATATGTTGAGATTCTATTATCTTTGATATATCCTCAAACTTCGGTCCCTGCAAAAAGCAGCATTATGTTTATAATAAATGCACATTCCAAAATACACACTTCATGCTACCATTTAGAGTAAGCTCCAATTCATGA